ATTGCAGGACGCTCCAACCACAAAAGGCAGAAGGCACTGGGAGAGAGCCGGAGCGCCCTGAGGAAACCCACACGAGCCCAGGGAGAACATCCAGACTCCACGCGGACAGCCCCCCCAGGAGTTGAATCCTGGGCCCCAGTGCTGTGACCAGGGTCGTCTCCAGGGGTGGCCGGGGCCCGGGGTGTCTCGCGCCCAGCGTCCCTGTCGTCATCCAGATCTCCACCCCCTCCCTTTCCTCTTCGCTCCTGGGTTTTACGACGAACCTTTTCCACAGACCCCCTTAAGGGCCACATGTGCATCCTCCCGGCTTCTGCCTCCTTGTTCTTTCCTCGCTCCCGCTGTAGTGATTTCGACATGTGGCCCTCTCCCTGCTCGTGCTCGGTGTTGTCCCAGCGGTCGCCTGTAGCTCAGGGCCCAATGGTTCTGACTGGAGCCTCTGGAGTTCAAATCAGAGTTTCCTGTGTCGCTTTATTAACATTTTGAATTGAAGTAAGAGACAAGATGTGAAAAGGGTTAACTTCTGCCTGAAAATTAGACTTCTAAGCAACAGGGGTTTATGGCAGGAAAGGGGGTTTAACTGATAAGGATTCCAGATGCGAGTAAGGAACCCCCTGGGGGCATAATCTTAAACTGACCAGGCCAGGGTCTCTTAACTGGCCAAATACCATGACCCCCCTTACCATAACACCGAATAACATCTGAAGCAGCAAGCAAGGACTATATAACCTAAAAGTTTGTACCGGCACATGGAACAATACTTCGGTGTTGTTGTTTCTTGCGGGAAACAAGACTTCGGCTTTATTGTTCCTTGCATGCAATAAACTCATCTGTTTTACTTCGTCTCGGGATCCAGGACCTTATTCTTTCTGTTACAACAGAATCATGTATGCATTTCGATTTTTATGCGTGTGTCAAGCGGGACTGGGGATTGGGCGGGGGGGTCCCCCTCAAAGCACAGGGCCCTGGGCGGCCACATACCCCCCCCCCCCACCCCGAGCCGGCCCTGGCTGTGAGGCAGAAATATTAACCACTATGTAACCGTGCCCACCTGAAAAACCGCGCCTAACTCTAGTTCCAGATATAGATCTGGACTCTCGGACAGACCGCTCCCCAGACGCGTGCCGCGGGAGAGCTGGCCAGTCCGTGCCCGTGCCGGTCTGACGACGGGCGGGGGGCAGTGAGGTGCACTTCCCGATGTCTTCCAGGTGGGGGCGCGGCTTCGGCCTGGTTGAGCTGGTGGTGGGGGTCGACAGCCTGGCGAATCAGCCCAACAGTGTCTTCGGGGTCATCTTCTACGTGCTGCAGCTGGTCCTGGGTACGAGACTCCCCCCGTCCCTGTCTGTGTGTGTCTCAGTCTGCTCGTGTGAGCTCTCTCTCTCTCTGCTCTGTGACGGTGTGTGAACCCCACGTCCTCCATCTCTCTCTCTCTCTCTCAATTCAATTCAATTCCAGGTGCTTTATTAGCATGACTGATGGGTACAATCAGTGTTGCCAAAGCAAATAAAAATAATAAAATTAACATGGAACAAAACAAAAAATAGAAGTAAAATAAAACCTACGGACATGTTACAGACATTTACAACTCTCTCTCTCTCTCTCTGTAATTGAGTGTATCAGTGTGCTGCAATAGTAGTCTTCCTCTGTGTCTGCAGGTCAGTCGCTGTCCAGCAGGGCGGCGCTGTTGCTGGTGCTGACCTCCTGGCTGTCTGTGGCTGGCTCCCTCTACCTGGCCTGTATCCTGGTGTTCGTGCTGTGGGATTTCTGCATGGTGTGTGTCAGCACCTACCTGCTCAACTTCACCCTGATGTACGTCAACCTGCGCAGACAGAGAGCACTGAGAGCTGACAAGGCCAAACGGAGCTGAGAGAGAGGAGCTGTACATGAACACTAACACTGACACACACACCATACTTACACATTTACACACTGACTGAGACACTCACACACTGACTGACACCCATACTGACACACTCACACTGACACACACCATACTGACACATTCACACACTGAGACACACACTGACTGACACCCATACTGACACACTCACACACACACTGATTTACACACATACACACTCACACACACTGACTGACACATTCACTCACACTGACACACACCATACTGACACACTCACACACACTGACTGACACACTCAAACACTGAGACACACACACTGACTGACACCCATACTGACACACTCACACACACACACACACACACACACACACACACTCACAGACTGACACTCACGAAAGAACATGGGAACACAGAACGAGTCACAAACGCAGGAGTCATCCAGCCTGTTTGTTAGTTAAGAGCTAATTAATCCCAGAATCTTTCCGAGTTGTGTCTGGGTATCAGCTGCAACAACCCAGCTGGGCAGCTTGTTCCACTCTCCCACCACCCTCTATGTACAGAAGTGCCTCCTGTCCTGACTGGAGCATCTCTTCCAGCTGTACCTTGAGAGAACCCGGGGTATCAGCTGCAACAACCCAGCTGGGCAGCCTGTTCCACACCCCCACCCCTCTCTGTGTAAAGAAGTGCCTCCTGCTCTCAATTCTAAATGCTGCTTCCTATAGTTTCCTTTCGTGTGCTCTGTTTTATATGCCACTGCTTATTCTCAAAACCTGTTACATTCAGCCACGAGCTCCCACAGATCGGAGACCTGTTCAACAGGTGGCTGATCGATAACTGTGACTGGGGAGTGTTACAGGATACCATCAGTGTTACTTTTTTTTTTATTCTGGCAAAACCCCAAATAAATCTTCTTCAAGTACCTTTGATGTGCCTCTCTGCTGATTTTCGTTCTGAAAGAAGGGTTTTACTCTGCGCAGTGAGACAGAGGAGGGAAATCTAAATCACACAAACACACACTCCCCTCTCCCGTTGGGGGTTCTGTGAAAGTGGGGGTCTCCACTATTCTCTGGTCTGCGTGCTGTCTGCTCAGAGGCACACGGACTGCGTTCTGAGCGATGGACTGCAGGGCGAAAACACTGGTGGGGTTTTACAGCTTCTCCTGACAAAAGAGGGGGTGATCAAGGAAATTGGAAGAGCTCGGGCGCAGAGCGTCTCAGTTCTCTAACTCTGTAGTTCTCAGTCCTGATCCGGGAGAAACACTGTCTCCTGGTCTTCACTCCAGCCTGGGCTCTTAATGACTTTATCTCAGATGATCTCAGTCCTGATCCAGGAGGAACACTGTGTCTCCTGGTCTTCACTCCAGCATTCCTTAAGTTATGTGCAGACGAGTTGGCCACAGTTTTTATGGATATTTTTAATCTTTTACTTTTAAAGTCCCCTGTTCCAGTGTGTTTTAAGAAAAAAAAAACACCATTGTACGTGTGTTGAATAAATATATTGCAACTTTGAATGATTACAGACCGGTAGCGCTCACATCTACCAAAATGAAATGCTTTGAAAGGCTGGTGATGAGCCACATTGACA